GGCCTCCCTGTCCATCACCAACTCCCGGAGTTTACTCAAACTCATGTCCATCAAGTTGGTCATGCGATCCAGCCATCTCATCCTCTGTCATCCCCTTCTCCTCCTGCCTCCAATCCCTCTCAGCATCAGGGTCTTTTCCAATGAGTCAACTCTTCGCATGAGGTGGCCAAAGTATTGGAGTTTCAGCTTCAGCATCAGTCCTTCCAATGAACACCCAGGACTGATCTCCTTTAGGATGGTTGCATCTCCTTGCAGGCTCTTACACAGCTGTGTTTCAGCCTTCTCATCCAGGACATGGGGTGATAATACTTATCTGTGGATTTGATCATGTTGACAATGTTGGTATTGCTAAGTATTGTTAGGTATTGATAAATAAATGTTTCACATAACTATATACAATACAACTAAGAATAATAATTGTAACAGTGTTTATTTATTTATTACTAATGAGCTTGTACAGTTCACCAGAAATGTTAAGTACACAACAGAACTGTAGGGCTGGGTGTTTACATTCCATTTAAATCAGTATTCTATTTCCAAAACATACAAAACATAGTAACTGATTTACATAATGCTAAACCACAGAGCAAGGAGATCCAACCAGTCCTTCCTAAAGGAGATCAGTCCTGGGTGTTCATTGGAAGGACTGATGCTGAAGCTGAAACTCCACTATTTTGGCCACCTCATGCAAAGAGCTGACTCATTGGAAAAGACTCTGATGCTGGGAGGGATTGGGGGCAGGAGGAGAAGGGGACGACAGGAGGAGAAGGGGACGACAGAGGATGAGATGGCTGGATGGCATCACCGACTCAATGGACATGAGTTTGAGTAAATTCAGGGTGTTTGTGATGGACAGAGAGGCCTGGCATGCTGCGATTTATGGGGTTGCAAAGAGTTGGACATGACTGAGTGACTGAACTGAACTGAACTGAAACCACAGAGGAACATGCAGTTTTAGCCGGGGTCATCAGGGTTAGCTTCTAGGGGCACCAGTCTTCTTTTTTCTTTCCTTTCCTTTTGTTTTGTTTCTTTTCATTTCATTTCTCTTCTCTTCTTTTTCAGCTTTATTGAGATATAATTGAATGGGAGCAGGGGTTTTGAGCAGAGTCTAGTGGAAGGTAAAAGAAGCTGGCATGGCAGGGGCAGGGAGAGAGCAGGTGTGAGCAGTGAGAAGGGCACCCAGGGAAAGAGAAGATTCAGAAGTCTGAAAGCACCTAAAGAACTGCAGACTCGCAGCTCAGCTGGAAGGAACAGTTGGGCGAGGAATGACACCCTGTCAGACACCTTTCAATGTGCGAGTGGGAACGCATACTTTTTGCTGCTGGTGATAATGCCAAGAATTTATATTTTGTGTTAATTTGGCCTCATTTACATAATACCTTATTATAGTGAATCACTCAGATGTTGCCTAATTGCCCTCTTTCTCTTGCTAACCCCAACAATGAGAAAGTAAAAAACCTGACTTTTATTTTGGCTGAGGCAGAGAAATGTGATTTGATATTTTCCTGCCACAGATCTTTTGCTTTCATATTTACTTGTTTTTTGCATATTTGTTTTTCCTCGGCCACACAAGCACTTTGCTTTGTATATTTCTTTTGCATTTGTCCACAGGCATGTGTGTTCAGCCATGCTTTCTAGGAAGTTAGGAAAACCCGACTTTTTTTTCTCATTTAAATTATATAATTATCATTTTCTTTGCTTTCCCAGTGCATTCTTAATTCTAGTCTTTCATAGATATACCATATTCCATTGAGTAATCATTGGAAAATTGTTATGCTTTAGTTTTTCAATAGTTTAGATATTGTAATGGCAATTTTTGTGTATAGCACTTATTTCTTCTGTTAGATTATTTTCCTAACAGCATCTGTAACTCTTAACTTTCTGCTTAGAGAAATAAAGTTTTATAATTTAGGGTTTTCTCTTCCTTGCCTCCCAATCTTGTATGTAAATAACCATTTCAGCATGAATTACTATGCATTTTATTTTCTCTATATAGCAGCCTTACTAATGCATCAGTCTAGACATGCTTATGTAACATACTACAATATAAGCCCAAGAGCTTCTGCCATCAATGTAACTATGAAAAGCAGGAACGCAGTACCAGACTATGGAATTGTCACAGAGAGATTGTGACAGTCATAAAAAAGTCTCTGTAGCCTGAAGGTCTAAATCTCCTTTATATTGTTTCCTAGATTTATTTTTCTTTAAGTCTGTATCTTTTATCACCAACTCATAACTCATTCATAACTCATTCTATACCTACTAACCCTTTAACTATTTTATTCATTTCCTTACTTTAATGACATCACTTGTATTTGATCAGTACTCTTCCCGCTGCCTTAGTGTTTGAAATTATTGTTGTTGTATTTGTACCCACCTCCCAATCATTAGTGATCTTTAATGTTTTTCTATATCAGTTAGTTGATTTCTAAGATATTGAAAGCTGTTTTTTTGGCAGCATACACTGGCTATATGATCCAGCAATGCCACTCATGGGAATATGTAGTAGAAAAGAGTTCACAACAAACATGTACATGAATCTTTATAACATCTGTATTCATAATCATCAAAAATTGGAAACAACCAAAATGACCTTCAGAAGGTGAATGGAAAAACACTTGGTAGTGCATCTGTACAATGGAATGCGTGCATGCTAAGTTGCGTCAGTCGTGTCTGACTCTCTGCTACCCTATGGACCATAGTCTGCCAGATTCCTCTGTCCATGGGATTCTCCAGGCAAGAATACTGGAGTGGGTTACCATGCCCTCTTCCAGGGGATCTTCCTGACCCAGGGATCAAACCCACATCTCTTCAGCCTCCTGCATTGGGAGGGGTTTCTTTACCACTAGTGCCACCTCGGAAGCCCATGCAATGTAATACTACACAGCAATTAAAAAGAAATCAACTCCTGATACATACAACAACTTGGATAAATCTCAAAGTAGTTATGCCAAATGAAAGAAGTCAGATTCAAAAGGTTACCTACTCAATGATTCCATTTATATGACATTCTTGAAAAGAGACAGCTACAGTAACGAGAACAGATCAGAGTTTTCCAAGAGTTATGGGTGAGGGGAAGTTGTAACTACACAGGGACAGTATGAGTTTTAGGAGGTGATAGCACTGTTTTGTGTCCAGACTGTTGTGAGGCTAAGACTTCTATCCAGGTGTCAAAATTCAGAGAACTAACACTAAAAAAGTAAATTTATTGTATGTTAATTTTAAAAATATAAAAAGGTTGCAGTTTCATCAAAGTAGTCATAGGTCTTTTGACAAGTTATTTAATCTCTCTAAATCTCAATTTATTTACTTGTCAAGTGTAGAAAATACTATCTTGAAGCGGTGCTATAAAAATGAAATAGGATGTCATAAAGTATCCACCTGGCATAAGGAAGCTCCTCTTTTTCTTTTCCATGCTGATGTTTCTCATTGGTAGCAGATTCTTTTTTGTGGTTATTATCATCTGGACTTTTTAAACAGTTATTTGGCTTTGGGGGAACAGACTGAAGCAAGTGAGGGTTTCAAGCAGAAATGTGACCTGATCTGATACTCATTAAAAAAAAAAAAATCATTTGAGCAGCTTTGTGGGGAGTGATGAGGGGTGCAGTAGGGTAGGAGTGGAAACATGGAGGGAGCTCCCTGGTGGCCTAGTGGTTAGGATTTGGTGGTTTCACTGCAGATGCCCTGCATTCTATCCCTGGTCAGGGAACCATCCCACATGCAGTACAGTACAGACAAAATACTAAAAAAAAAATAGAGTGGAAGCATCGAGAGGTGTTGGGGTTGTCCAGATGAGAGACAGTTGTGGTTTGGACTCAGTGGGACAACAGAGTGGGAGACAGTTGGGTAGGTTTGGGATTTTTTGAGGGGAGAGGTGGAATCAATAGGCTTGATGATGGGTATTTGAGGAAACATGGCTGGAGGATCATTTATTGAGATGAGAAACTCAAGAGAGGAGCAAATTCAAGTGTGTGGACTGTAGTCATCATGGAAGATCAACAGTTTGTTTGGATGCGTTAAGGAGTGGAAACCTAACAGGTAGTTGGGTACAGGGTTCTGGAACCCAGGACCAGGCCAGTGTGATCCCATTCATTTCCATTGGAGGTGGCTCTGTGAAGTCTACCAGCTCTGACCGTCCAGATTAGGGCTGCAGGGGAGCTGTTAGCTGCTATTCCTTCCACCTAACCTTGGGATTTTTTTAATGAATCACTTTTCTTTAATCCATTTCTGAGAGCAAGCATTTGTAGAAACTTCAGGTTATGCTTTTATAGCCCACTGCTGCCAGATTTTCTTTTTCATTTTCCATTTAATGTGATTTAGGGAAAGGAGACACCCAGCATTTCCAAATATCCAGCCTGGAAGTCATTAGTCACATTGTATATGATTAAGAAGTATTCATAAACTACCGAGACAGCTGATGAATATACAAACACATGAATAAGGGATTATATGCTAACATATTTTGTTATTTATATTGTGCTTGAATTTCCAGTTTTGCCACAGACAAGGGAAAGAAATTCAAGATATAATTTTCCTTGAAAGCTACCCATTAACCATTGCCTCTAGGAATGGAATTTGGGGAGAGGTATTGAGGAAGCCTCAACTGTGTCTGCAAAAAGTTAAAGTTCTGTAGAGTTGGGTATTGGGTCAGCATGTTCATCAGATTCATCTATTTGAAATATTTTATAGTTAATATTTTGTTCTTTAAACATATACATAAAAATAACTTAAAATCAAAGACATGAGAGACAATGCCCTTCTTCCACCCGCTCCACCTCTTTAATCACCATAAAGAGTGATCTATTGGGTTTTTCTCTCAGAAAATGTAATTACTTTGTAATGAAATCTTAATGCTATGTTCTATTCTTAAAGTCACTTGTTCCAGTAATAAAGCTATGGCTTAATAGAGTTGCTAAATTTTCTTCTAAGCCATTATTTTAATATTTCATACTTGTCAAGTGAGCCAGGCATGATCGGGAACATCTTTGTTTTTACATCAGGACCATTTCGGCAAAAACTCATCATCAGGCTGTCAACTTCAACATCTTCGAGGGCATGGTTTGCCATGGGGTGCCCCTGGTGACTATTTCAAGAGGCAAAGTGGTATATGAAGCTGGAGTTTTCAGTGTCTCAGCAGGAGATGGGAAGTTTATTCCTCGTAAACCATTTGCTGAATATATTTACAAACGGATCAAGCAGCGGGACCAGGTGAGTTTGGGGCTGCAGGGGCTGTTACCATGGGCTGGGTGGTCTCGTCACGTGCTCCTGGATGTTGGTGCTGTTATTATCCCATACAATGGGGTAACCTATTCCTGGGATGTCAGAAAAGGTTACCGACAAATAGAGTTTTCAAAGAAAAAAATCATTACTAGATGGATGCATTTTCCTTTGCAGTTTAGTGCCTATTCAGGGTTTCCTAATGGACCAAGTCGGGTTTTCCTAGGCAAGTTCAGGGCCCCTGTGGGCCTTTTGGCAACTGCTGTTAGTCAGGGTCCACTCACAAGTAGCCATCCAGAAAGATAAAAGTGCCACCAGTTTATACCTCAGAGAAGAAATGGGAGGAAAAGTGGGAAAGACTCTGGAGAGCCATCAGACTGCAACTCAAGCCCAGCCCCAAGGAATGAGACAGGGAGAGGAAAAACAGCATGGTAAGCACCCTAGAAGCATCGCATGCAGACTAATAAAGGTTGAGCAAGGCCTACAAACAGCCCTTGAGCCGGTTCCTGCGTCCAGCTACGTAGCATGCTGTCATTGGCTGGGAGCAGCAGTGGGAGCTACGAACAAAAACGTGAAGTTCAAACTCAACAACAGCCCCTTGGAAAACCATGCTTCTTGTAGATGTAGGTCTGCAAGGCCATCCTGGCTTCCCTGATAGCTCAGTTGCTAAAGAATCCGCCTGCAATGCAGGAGACCCTGGCTTGATTCCTGGGTCGGGAAGATCCCCTGGCGAAGGGATAGGCTACCCACTCCGGTATTCTTGGGCTTCCCTTGTGGTTCAGCTGGCAAAGAATCCGCCTGTAAGGCGGGAGACCTGGGTTCGATCCCTAGGTTGAGAAGATCCTGTTAGAAGGGAAAGGCTACCCACTCCAGTATTCTGGCCTGGAGAATTCCATGGACTGTATAGTCCATGGGGTCACGACTGAGCACTTTCACTTTCAAGGTGCATTCATGGCAGGGTTTGGGGTCAAGTAAATATCAATTCTATCTTGACTTCACATTTCCTGGCTGTGTGGCCAAGAGCAAGTTTCTCTGTCGTCTCTGGGCTGCTTCCTCATCTCGAAAAGGAGGATAGTGTTTTCTCCCCAGGAGATTGTAAGAGTCAAGTGAGATTTTAAAATATAAGGCGTTAACGGGAGGTCTATAAATATCAGTTTGGTCTCTTTGTTTTCCCCCTTTGATGACCGAATTTTTAATAAAGTCTTTGTAATAATCCTGTTGTTATAAGAGAGGTCTTAAAAGGTATGTTCTTTTAATATATCTTGGATTTTCACATTTGTTTATTTAGTTCATGCAGTGTTTTCAACAATTTTAAAAATTCACTTCACTAAATACACTAACATATCAAAAATTTCAGATTAAAATCATCTAAACTGCTGGTTTGGGAGTGATGGAAGGCAACCAGTGCCCTTAATCTCACATGGTAAGAATAGGCTAGAGCTGGGTGACTGAGTCCTGCAGAGGCAGCCTTTATGACATTCATCTGCAGGCTTCACTCATTAATGTTCCCAACCTGACCATGTAACCATTACAGTTTATAACCCTTGAATTAGTTCTAACGCTTCCTTGTCTTTTTTCATTTTAAAATACATTTCTCTTTTTCCAAAGTTCTCCAGCTGTCTTCTGATTCATTTCATGTGGGTCTTGTAGTCTCTTTGATTTCTTCCCTAATGTCTTGTGAAATTTTTTTGCTTGTGGATTCTCAGACTTTGTTATAAATAAGATTCATCCTTTCTTCTTCTTTTTTTTAAATCACTTCCTAAAGCTTTGATTTAGTAAATGAGTACTCTGGAATGCTGTAAATTCTCAGAATGTTACGATTCTTCATCTATTGTATTTCGTCAAAATATTTAAGGTTGCAATTTATTTTGCTGGGGTTAATTTGTAAATGTTGACACTGACAGGTGACAGGTAGGTAGAAACTATAAGATTCCCATGTATTTCTAAATGTCATATGGTAAATTACAGCAACACTAACATTTACTGAGCTCTTACTGAGACAAAGCACAGTGCTAGGGGATCTTGTCACTGTAACAACCTTGTGAGTGAGGCAGTATTTATTATTTTCCCCAATTTAAATATTAGGAAACTGAAGCTTCAGGAAATAAAGTTGGTCATGTCATATAGGTCATATATGGCAGGACCAAAACATAAACTCTGGTTATCTGGCTCCAAAACCTATATACGTAAGCATACCACATAGTGTAAAACATAAAGGTTGACTTAAGTGAGTTAAGTAAGTGTCAGTCACTCAGTTGTGCCCAACTCTTTGTGATCAGTGGACTGCAGCCCACCAAGCTCTCTGTCCATGAGATTTTCCAGGCAAGGATACTGGAGTGAGTTGCCATTTCCTTCTCCAGGGGATCTTTCCCAACCCAGGGATCAAACCCGGGTCTCCTGCACTGCAGGCAGATTCTTTTTGTTTGTTTGTTTCCTATTTATTTTTATTAGTTGGAGGCTAATTACTTTACAATATTGTAGTGGTTTTTGCCATACATTGACATGAATCAGCCATGGATTTACATGTGTTCCCCTTCCCGATCCCCTCCTCCCTGTAGGCAGATTCTTTACCAACTGAGCTACAAGGGAAGCCCTTTAAGTGGGTTAATGGGAGATAAATTATTCTGTGCTAGGTTTGGGAAAAAATAATTAGAGACACTGATGGAAGCTAATTCATTCATGACACTCATAGTAGTAATACAAAGAATAAACAGAAAGGCGTAGACTTTCTGTGGTGGTAGATCCAACAGAAAAAGTGGAAGGGTTAGTCTCTCAGTTGTGTTGGACTCTTTGCGATCCCATGGACTGTAGCCTGCCAGGCTCCTCTGTCCATGGAATTTTCCAGGCAAGAATACTGAAATGGGTAGCCATTCCCTTCTCCGGGGATCTTCCCGATCCAGGGATCATGCCCAGGGCGAGGCAGTTCCTGGCTGTCAGTACCTGCTGCTCACTGGCAAGGGTGCTAGACTAACCGATGACACCTCCTATTAGCCTCTCTCAGTCACGTTGGACTCTGCGCCCCCATGGACTGTGGCTCACCAGGCTCCTCTGTCCATGGAATGTTCCAGGCAAGAATACTGGAGTGGGCTGCCATTTCCTTCTCCAGGGAATCTTCCTGACCCAGAGATTGAACCCAGGTTTTCTGATAGACTGTATTTAAAAGACTGGCTTTGCCTAAGTCTTCCTCCTGTTGGGAAAATGTTTGAGGCAGCCAAGACCACCATATGATTGGCTTCATCAGTTCTCTATTTCAAACTGTTGTTGGGTGTTTTGTTGGCAAAATTAATGTCAACATCATTTTTTTCAGAGTTCACCATCAGCTTTGTGAGTTAGCTTCTTAATATTTTCTTCTGATCTCAAGTTTGAAGGTATTTTAGTCCATGATTGCTTTTACAATAACAATAAGTAATAGTTGTCATTATAATATGTTGTTCTGAGCACTTATGATCTGTCAGGCACTGTACTTGGTGTAATTAAGTTTTTATTTCACTTAATCTGCACAGCAAGCCATGTGAGATAGTATCATCCCTGTTTTACAGAATAGAAAACTGACTCAGCAAAATTAGGTAAAACTTCCCTGGGCTAAGCAGTGAGGAATCATAAGAGCCAGGGTTTGTTGTAATGCTTTCCGGATTCTCACTATACCATGGGACTTCAACAGAACAAGAAAAAAGAACATAATTGTGAAACTCAAATCATGGGAAATCCATTATTTTTAAAAGTGTTAATGTAGAAGAAGTATCAAATAAAGTAGATAAAATGAGGTTTGAGAACTGTGTGGAGATATTTCAAATCTTTTTTTTTTTTAATCTCCATTAAGCAAAGATAATTTTATAGAAGAAACATATCGCACTGAAGTTAAGAAAAAGAGCGGTTAAGAATCCTAGAGTTTGTATTCACATGAGGTAATGAGAGCTCTTCCCTTGGTTTTCATTTAAAATATTCAGACTTCTTTGTGAGTGAGGATAAGAGTTTGAAGGCAAACAGGAAGTGCCCACACCACTTCTCCTGCTCACCTGTTATCCTTCCCAAGAACATTAATCACTTACCACTCTGGACTCCAAAGCACAGATTGTAGAGAAATGCCAGGGTTTCTCAGTCCCAGAACTCAGCTGGTCTCCTGGCTAGAGTGTTAGTTCTTTGAAGAACTTACTTTTTTATGCCCAATACTTGCTATCTAGTTGGTGTTTGATAAATAGACAAATTGCAACTGGAAGGAACAAAGACTATAGTTTCAGAGGTCATGGAAAGGAATTTGGATAAATTTACACAGAAAATTGTCCCCTGCCTTGTCCCAAACAGGGGGGTTATCTGTAAACTTGATTCCTATCAATGATTTTATTACTTAATAAAAAACTTAGTATCATGCTATGCAGCTGTCACCGTTAACAGATATTATGAGGAATTCCAAAGGAGAGAAATGGCATTTTGATGTAGTTTGACAGCTTCAGGAAATTGTTACTTTAACATTTAAACAGCGGATCCTTAAGGGAAAAAATTTAGATCAGGAGATGAAATATCTAACTTTATTTGATAAACAGAATAATAAAATACATATTTCAATTCAATATAAAAAGTCACCTATGGAAGAGTACTGGGGGATTCAGGAAAACAAAAATAAAAGAGGAAGAAAAAAAGTACTTTGTCCCCTGGTATCTGCAGAGGTTTTGTTCTCAGTATCAGCAGATACCAAAATCCACAGATTTTCTAGTCCTTTACACTGTTGTCCGTTTCTATCCGTGCATTCAACCAATGATGCATATGGAGGCCTCTGTAACAGCAACTGAGATGTTCAAGAACATTTTGAAAGAATAAAATCAATTTACATGTGATTCGTTCTTCACCCCCCTCCAAAAGATAGCTCTTTAAACTCAAATAGTTTATTATTTCTAGACTGTGTGTGTGTTTAGAGTGTTACATTTTTTTTTACCAAAACTTGGAAGTATAGACATTCTTCCGATCATCCCCTTTTCTCTTTTCTCAGTTGTAAG